GACACCCGCGCTAGCAGAAGGTTGCCTCCATAAGGGATCCCCTCTTGTGCCTTTCGTTCTCCTTTCATACAGTTCCAGCCCTTTTGTCTCTTGTCATAACTAGGACATGGCTGGGGCAAAAGCTGTCAATTGTTTCCCCTCCTCGTGAGCTCTCGAACCACCCTGCCCCGGTCCCCTGCTTCCCCTCCAGCAGCTTTGGACACAATATCCTGCATGCTACATAACTCTGACATCCCAAACATCCATCCTGCAATAACTGTGGCACCCAGAGAGTTCCTAGCAATCAGCAGAGACCGCTCATCACAGCCCCCTTCGGTGGAATACTGTGAAGATGGCACCGGGCACCGGAACGGGGGGGCCAGGAGGACATGGCTATGCCCTCCCGCTTTTTACGGGTAGTAAGGGCGACTGACGGGAGGGAGGGGGCAGAGAGGAACAAGCAGAGGGCGGGGGGAATGGGTGGTGCAAGGGCAGGGGCTTGGGGAAGGGGCAGGGCCTCAGGGGGAATGGGTGGTGCAAGGGCAGGGGCTCAGGGAAGGGGCGAGGCCTTAGGGGAAGGGGTGCCGCGGGGGGTGGGGCCACAGTTTGGGCACCTGTGGGAGCCCCCCCCCCCCCGCATTTCTAGGGACCTTCAGTTGTCCTTGGATGGCGATCACAGGGGAAATATGCCTGTCTGGGCATGTCCCTGGGTATAGACTTGGAACTGTGTACCCGTCTGGTGCCAACCTGGGGCACCTGGGTCACAGTCACCCCCAGCTACAGGGAACAATGGAGAATCCCCTCCCTCATCGAGAACAATGGAGAATCCCCCTTTGCCCTCCATAGAGAATAACAGAGAGCTGTAGGGACTGGCTCTTTCTGCAGTCTCTGTTGGCTCCAGTGCCTAGCTGTCTTGCCGAGAGGAGGTAAACTGCACCAAACTGCCCAGCAAACGGGGGTTCTCCTGGCGATCTAGGGTGAGACTCCTGGGCTTTGGGCACTCTGGGCCTGGCTCCAAGTCCCAGTGCTGCAGCCAAGCTGGCCCGGAGATGCCTTACGCTGGCCTAGCGAGTGAGCGTGGTGCATCGGGGAGGAGCTAACACTCAGCCCCAGCTGGCCTCCTTCATGATGCCACTAAAGTGAGTGAGGGGCCCGAATCTCTGCTCACCCGCAGGTCTGTAAACCCAGAGGCAGTGCAGTGAGCTCTGGGCTCCACCCCACAGGTGTCAGTCATGTTGCTCAGTGCATGACTGGAAGGTGCTCAGAGGCTCTGGTGACAAGCGCGGGATAAGAACTTTTCGAACAGGCTAGACTCCCAGCCTGGGCTCTCTGTTGTCGTACACCCCAGGCAGAGTGGGGTGAAATGCTACCAGGCCAGCATCGCTTTGTAAATGACAGCAGGAGGTGCCAGGCTGGGGAGACACGCCCGGGACTTGGGGTCTTCTCCTGCCTTTGCCTCAGTCTCCCCAGCTGTCCAAGGGAATACAGCCCTGAGTCCCGTCCCCCCTCCCCAGGAGGCTGTGAGGACTCATTAGCTCATGTCCATAGAGTGAACTGACAATGAAAAGTGCTATCCAATGGCCCAGCGCCTACTGAAGCCAGCACTGACCTAAGTACATTTCCTGAATAAGCAGCAGATGCAGCCCAATCTAAGCAGCAGAATCGGCCCACAGGCTGCCCTGGACCAGAGCTGTATTCCCCAAAGAAATTAGAGTCCTGAGATGGCGCAGCCCCAGGTACCGAGAGCGGGAGAGCAGGACGCAGTCTGCACGGTTAGAGAGCAGCTCAGCCACATTGGGACTTGTAGGATCTCATCAGGGTTCCCAATCCCAGCAGGGCTGGGCTGGATCAATAGCTAAGGAACATCCAGATGCCGCAGGAAATACTGTTCATGACTCAGTAGAGAGCACGTCCCTCTGGGTCCGTGCTGACTCCAATGCCTCAGCACGGTGCTCAGGGGCCCTGTGCTGCAGAGATTGGGGTGGGGGCTCAGTAAGTGTCACCTTCCCCTGTGTATCAGTGCTCACCCCAATGCCCCAGCGCAGTGCTGGTGAGTGCTGTGCCACAGGGCGGGGGCTCAGTAAGAAGAGGCGTCCTCCCCACTGGCTCAGCTCAGGCCCCAGCGCAAGGCTGGACGTACCTTGTTGCCCCACAGATGATCAGTTGCATATGATAAACCTTGGCCACTTGTGTATGAATTACAAAGCTGGGGAGCAGACAGCGAGGGAAGAGGAAGAACATGCTCCCCCCACCCATAGCTGGGGGGTGGAGAGTCTGAAAAAGCTGCCCACTCCTCTCCCGCCCCTCCCTCCCCAGCTCAGCAGCCAATGACTCCCCAGCCCCTGGCTCAAGCCAAGCAGAAGTGCCCCCTCCACCCCCCAGCAGGTCCAGACTTGGGGAGGAAATTGTAGTGTGGCCTATACCTCCTTACCGCAGCGGGGTGCACCCCCCCAAAGTGACCCCAGGCTCCAGCACTGATATGGGGACACCCCTTGGCTGCATGCAGTGAAATGAGCTCCACTATATGGTGAGCAGGGGGGAGCTGTTGAATTTGGGGGGCATCTGACCAAATATTGAGCAGCACAAACACCTCCCACCACCCCAGTAAGGTACAAGAGTTCCATAGATGGGAACTGAAAGTCCACGAGCAGCCAGCAAGGCCAAAGGCACCTATTAACCCCCATGTCCCAGCCCAATTCAAATCCCTGCAGAGAACAGTGCTGACCCTGAGGCCTTGGCCAGGTTCCAGCCCCACCCCATATCTTGTATTGGCCCAACTTCTGTGGGTGAGAGAGACAAGCTTTGAAGCTCACACACAGCTCTTCCTCAGGGCTGGGAAACGTACTCAGGGTGTCACAGCTAAATACAAGGTAGAACAGATTGTTTAGCATCAGGATTAACACATTTCAAGGTGAAGTGGCCTGTTAACACCTCCACCTCTCCAATCATAGAAAGGGAAAAGAAAGGTAGGGGTGGTGTGTGTGTGTGTGTGGGGGGTTACAGATTGTTGTAATAAGCCATAAATCCAGTGTCTCTGTTCTATCTATGATTTTTAGTGTCAAGCAAATTTATGAATTTAAGCTACCAGGCTCCTCTTTTGAAGATGTTGTGCAGGTTTCCTTGGAGGACAAGGACTGAGAGGTCACATACAGAGCGATCTCTTTGTGAAGCATGTTCACCTGCAGATGCAATGGTGGTTTTGTCTTTTATCATTTTTCTGTGAGACAAGGGGGGATGAGGTAATATATTTTATTGGACCAACTTCTATTGGTGAGAGAGACAAGCTTCAAGCCACACGGAGCTCTTCTTCAAGAAGCAGCAGCAGCTCTGAGTTAATTCAAGAGCGTAGTGATTGTCTCATTTCACCCACATAGTGGTTATTGGGGCATTCAGTGTGCTGGATGAGGTACACCACGTGTTGTGCTAGGCCTGTGTAGGACCCATGGATCTTGACAGATGTGTTGTGGAGGGGTGTTGATCATTGTAGCAGCAGAGCTATGTCTACAGGTTTTGTATCTGTTGTTCTGGAAGGGTCTGGTGCAGGATCTGGTGCTGCTTTGAGTTGGTGGGTACTGGTCTGTGAGGAGCCTGCTTCTGATGACAAGCTTGGTGAGGTTGGGGGGCGGGGGGCGTTGCTTGAAGGCTAGAGTAGGGAGTTCAGGAAAGATTTCTTTCAGGATGTGATACCCATCAAGCATGGGTTGTAACTGTTTAATGATACCCTGTATGGGTTCCAGTGTGGGGAGGTAGGTGATGACCAGGGGTGTGTGGGCAGAGGTGGTTTTATCTCTGTATTGAAGCAGGTTCTCATGGGGTATTTGGGTGGCCTGTTCCATGATGTGATCTGCTTCTTTGGTGGAGTGTCCATGTTTGGCAAAGACGGTTTTAAGTGTGTTAAGGAGTGCATCCTGGACTTCCTCCTCATAGCAATGTTTGTGGTATCTGAGTGCCTGGCTATAGATAACAGGTTTCTTGGTGCATTTGGGTTACTGGATCCGTGAAGGCAGGTGTGGTGATCTAAGGGCTTCTTGTATATAGTCATCTGGAGGGTTTCATTGTTGAAGTTGATTGTGGCATCCAGGAAGCTGATGCAGCAATTTTCTAGAGAGAGTTTAATGGATACGTGTTCGTTATTGAAGTTTTGATCAAATCTATGCGGGAGTTCAGGTTGTTTGTCCAGATGATGAAAATATCATTGACATCTCTCAGGTATTCATGGTGCATTTGTCCAGAAATTCTTCAAGGTGGCCCATGAAGAGGTTGGCATAATGGGGAGCCATCCTAGTACCCAGGGCTGTTCCCATGGCTTGGACAAAGTGTTTGTTGAATGTAAAATTGTTATGGATGAGGATGAAATGGACACGTTTGACGATGTGTTTGGGGTGGCTATCTGAGGGTTACCCATTGTCTGTAGGCAAGCAGCAATGCTGTAATTTAGAGTAAATTTAATAACACTCCAGTTTTAAAACAGTTCCTGGTCTGGGAGTGTAACGCGGAAGACAACAGCAGCAGCATAGAGGGGAGCCTGCAGAGCCCAGCAAATGGGGGGATCAGGGGCAGCATGGAGCTGGCAGGGCCTGCAGAGCCCAGCGCAAGTGGGGGGGGGGGGAAGGGGCAGCATGGAGCTGGGCGGGGGGCTGCGGAGCCCAGCACAAGTTGGGGAGGGAAGGGACAGCATGGAGGGGGACCCGCAGAGCCCAGTACAAGGTGGAGCAGAGGCAGCATGTGGGGGGGGGGCGATGGGGCTCGTGCGGGTTTCCTGGCAATGACGAGTTACCACCTGGGTAGCGGCCATCGCGCCAGGCCTGCCCCCAGCGCAAGGGCCCCCCGCCGCCTGGGCTGGGCACTGAGGGGCGGGGCGCGAGGCGCGGCTGGGTCCCGGCCAGCTCAGCACGGATTGGTCACGGCTTCCTCAGCCCCGCCCCCAGTCCATCGCTGCCATCAACAAACATGGCAGCTCTGCCCAGCCCGTGCGCGCGGTCATTTCCGGTGCCCTCTGGAAACATGGCGCTTCTGCCCAGCCTGAGCCTTGTTGTGACACCACTTCCGGTCCTTCTCCCCCAGTAAAGATGGCGGACGAGGCGACCCGGCGGGTGGTGGCGGAATTGCCGCTGCTGAAGACGAACGCGGGGCCCCGGGACCGGGAGCTGTGGGTGCAGCGGTTGAAGGAGGAATACCAGGCGCTCATCAAGGTCAGGCTCTTCCGCTTCCGGGAAGGGTGTCACCGGCAAAGGGGCCGGGCGGAAACCGCTTCCTGTCAGCGCTCTGCTCCCGGGGTCTCTGGTGCGGGGAACGGGCCGTCCTTTCCCCTGGTGCCACCCGGTGTCCAGACGGGGAGGCCTCGCTGTGGGGAGCATGCGCCCCTCTCGTACTGATGGGGCTCTTCCCAGACGATGGCCAGAGAGAGTCATACTCAAATGTGCCCCCCCATCTCTCTACAGGGGACATGGTCCGCCCCTTCTCCTCCCCCTGGGTCTGCCCCTTCCCCCCATCTCTGCAGAGGACCTGGGGCTGCCCCCCCGCCTCTGGAGCATTAGCGAGGCCCCATTGGGGTTCCCTGTGGTCCAGGGGTGCAGACTGCCCTGCTCCTAAGGTATCTGAGGGCTGCAGTGGCCGCACAGCTCAGGGATCTGTGGGGAGAGTATAGCTGGCTCCCAGGCCCAGAGTGAAGCACGTCCCCTGAAGGGACATTGGGGTGCCCCAGGGCGCCTACCTTGCCCTAAACTCTCCAGTCAGTGTAGCCTAAAGGACAGGTCACCTGAAAACCAGCAACATTCTCCCCCCGTGCTGCCTGGCCAGGCATGTGTACTAAGGGCATCCCATGGGCAGCAACCGGACCCAGGAATCCTGCAGTCTGTCCCATGCCTAGTACCTCAGGGCTTGACAGAGTCTGCTTTTGGTGGCTCTGTGCGATGCTACTGCCAGTCTTGTGTTGCTGGCTGCGGGGCTTTTACAGCTGGTGTTCACCGCAGCAGCAACAGATCTTTCTGCCTTGCGAGGAACATGCCTACGCTGTAAACATGTCCAGAGAGATCTCCATTATCTACGTAGATTTGGGGAACAGGAATTTTGGTTTCTGTGCAAGCTTCTGATGGATTGGGAGGCTAGACACAAACTGCATGGTATGGGGGTTCTGATTTTGTGGGGTTGCCTGTACCCACTCACTGCCTTTGTTTTTCCCTTCCCAGTATGTGGAAAACAACAAGAACGCTGACAATGACTGGTTCAGGTTGGAGTCCAACAAGGAAGGGACGAGGTAGGCATGGATAGGTTGCAGGGCGTGTTTGTGGCTGCCATGGCTCCAGGCCCTCCTGCCTCTCTGATGGGTTTCCTCTGCTATAGCCCGCCCTCTAGCCTTTGAGTAATTGTGAGCATACCAAGTCTCAGTCCTGTGGGAGCCCTTCACTGAAAAAGGAGCAGAGGGCTGAGTCTCTGGCAAACAGGTCTTGCCTTCCGATAGCTGCTGGGGTTAGAGGCATGAACAAGAAAGGGAATTCTGAACAGTCCTTTCTCACCTCTGTGTCACATCCTTCCTATCCTAATCCTGCTTGCTCTCTGGTTGGCCAGAGACCCCTCTGGGGTTGCGGGGAACTGAACGTCTACTGTGCAAAGCATGCAGAACCCTGCCCCTCTCCCAGCTCTCCCTCCATCCACAAGGAACAGGGAAGGCCACAAGCCCTTTTTCCCTTTGCAGGTCCCCCAGGTTGTGCCCTAATCTATCTCTTGGTGGAATAAAGTATAATAATCTCAGCCCCCTTGGCCCCTGGAGGCCATTTCTCATCCCTGCTTAATAAATATGGACACGTTCCATTACAGAGAATGCAAGGTAGGTGATTAGTGATCCAGTCTGCACTGTGCTTCCTGTGGTAGGAGGCACTGAAATGCTACCCCTCCCTGGGCTGTGTGGCACCTCGCCAGGAGCTCAAGGGCCACCCCCAATGTGTATACAAGGGAACAGGCTGCAGCTGCCCTTTTCAGTAGCAGGGAGATGGAAGCTAGGAACCTGAAGGCAATGTGGCTTGACTGCATGGGTCAGGATGGAGCACTGCATGCTGGGAGCTGTAGTCTCCATTTGGCTTCATCCACTGCAAGAGTGTTGGGGGCACCCACTGTGCTCCAGTGGTGTCGAGCAGTTGGAGTTGGTTAGGGTTACGATTCGTCCGGTTTCCCCTGGACATGTCCGGCTTTTAGAGTTAAAAATAGCGTCCGGGGGGAATTTGTAAATGTCCGGACTCCCCCCCCATGCAGAGCGCGCACGGCTGACAGGGCAGCCGGCCGGATGGTGCCACTTACATGGGGCTCTGACAGCCAGAGAGAGCCCCTCCTCTGCTTCCCCCTCCTCTCCCCTGCAGCTGAGAGCACTCCCTCCCTGCATTCGCAGATCACCAGCCGGCCATTTGCACCGGCAGTCTGGAGCTCCTCCCCCTGCTCCTCCTCCCCAGCACGCTGGTCTGAGCGGCAGGGGAAGGGGCAGGGAGGTTCTGGAGGGGGCAGTCAAGAGACAGGGAGCGGGGGGGGGTCGGGAGTTCGGGGGGCTTTCTGGGGGGGTG